TGGGCCGTAGGCTTCTGCAGTGTTACTTCATTCTTGTGTCCTCCAAGCGCTTTGCCACCACTAAGGGTTTAGCGCTTCCACATTAAATAATAACTGTACCCTAAAATACTATGTATAATAACTTTCTGACTATTGTTCCATATTTATTTATAATGAATTTATTGTTATTATTACCAGATGTTAACACAATTTATGTCATTCATACAAGCACCACCAGACACGTCACTCACCACCCAGACACGTCACCGCCACCCAGACACGTCACCGCCACCCAGACACGTCAGCACCACCCAGACACATCACCATCACCCGTACATGTCATCACCATATAATCATGGGGGAGCGTTAGATAAGATATGATAAGATTTCGTTCGGATTTTTAACTCCGGAGGGTTAGCCACTCAGGATAACCCAAGAAAGTCAGTGCGTCATCGAGGACTGTCTAACTTATTTCCATTGGGGTCCTTAATCTTGTCCCCCAGGATGCGACCCACACCAGTCGACTAACACCCAAGTACCTATTTGCTGCTAGGTGAACAGGACAACAGGTGTAAGGAAACGTGTCGAAATGTTTCCACCCGCCGGGAATCGAACCCGGGCCCTCCGTGTGTGAAGCGGGAGCTTTAGCCACCAGGCCACCGCCACCGCGTTAAACCCATAGGATTATACAGAACATATGGGGATGGAAGGCATTCAGGCTCAATTCAGGGAACTGGAGTACAGATCCAATCCCCTAGATCAGTGGTTCCCAAACTTTTTCAGCTTGTTACCCAATTTAACATGCCACATGTACATAAAGCATGTTACCCCTTTCACAAAATGTTGTTATTATTGATATATATGGCTAAACGTGAACGTATACAGCCTCGCATACTCTGCTAATCCTAGCAAAACCATTGAAAACGTAAGAACCACACATACATTATATATAAAATTAATAATAGCTACAAATTCACAGTAACAGTGGGTAAATACTAACTATATACTGCACAGGACAGTACACATACATACCAGCTTATGTCTACCTCAGCTGATGCTCACAGATAAACTGACAGTGTGAAATAGAGGCAGCCTCAGGAAGTGAGTGACGCGTACTGGACAGGTCGATCTGGGCTACTGAGTGACTTTTGTCCTGAAGCATACTTGTCAAAATACTTTTTGGGGTTTTCCACACACTTAGCTATATATTTCTTCTTTTCTAATACTGTATATTAGTTTTTGATGTTTATTGTTATTTAGTTTAACTTTATTACTTACTTATAATAGGTTTACTTTACAACTTTATATACTAAGACAAAGTTAACAATAATCCTCATACCGGGTACCGCATTGTTTTCTTGATTTTCAGAATTCATAACTTTTTTTCTGTCACCCCTCCATTACCCCCCAAAAATGGTTAAATTACCCCCAGGGGGTAATTTACCCCCAGTTTGGGATTATTATTATTATAATCAAGGGGGAAGCGCTAAACCCGGAGGATTATACAGCGCCTGGGAGGGGGGGGATGTGGAAGGCATTCAGGCTTAATTCGGGGAACTGGAGCACAGATCCAATTCCCTAAATCAAGAGCCCCTCACCAACATCAAGGAACCTTCCTTGAGGGGCCCCAGTTTGGGAACCACTGCCCTAGATCAAGAGCCCCTCACCAGCCTCAAGGAGCCTCCCTTGAGAGGTATGTCATCACTAGACATGTCATCACTACCAGACACGTCACCACCATCCAACAGTTCTAGGGTAGTGGGTGGTTGCATGCCTGTCATGAGAGATTAGGCTGACGTGTTGGCCAATATTTCCTCTATAATGGAGGGCTGGGTCTCTGCCCAGCCGCTTACAGGGTAGGTTAGCGGATAGCATTATTTTTTCAGTAATATACATACTACCCAAGTGCTTCTGTACTCCCCAACTTGGATATTCACACCACACATATTTTCTTTTTTTTTTTGTATTGATGCAGAAGAGGATTAATATATTTTCCTTCTGAATATTATTTTCGTTCCTACATGCATTACTAATCACGCCCCATTTCCAAATGTGAAAAATTTGCTTTGAATAAAAAACTTTTCATGTCCTTTTTTATATGGGCATATTTGGAAACACCTTCTTTTTATTTATGTTCATTCGTGTATGAAATGTGAACCCAAGCACGTTCTGACTGAATACATAGTAAGACAGCATTTATAACTTTAAAAATAGGCCTACCAGGCATAGAGAATGATACGTGATTTCACAGTCAAGAGGCAGGGACCAGGAGCTGAGGCTTGAACCCCAGGTGCAGTATTATGCCTACAGATTTAGCACTCCCCATGGATGTACAATAATATGTAATAAGAAAGGCGAGTGGTGCATTGAGGTATATGTGGAGACAAAAAACGTTATCTATGGAGGCAAAGAAGGGAATGCATGAAAGTATAGTAGTATCAACACTTATATGGGTGTGAAGCTTGGATTGTGAATGCAGCAGCGAGGAGGCGGTTGGAGGCAGTGGAGATGTCCTGTCTAAGGGCAATGTGTGGTGTAAATATTATGCAGAAAATTCAGAGTGTGGAAATTAGGAGGTGTGGAGTTAATAAAAGTATTAGTCAGAGGGCTGAAGAGGGTTGTTGAGGTGGTTTGGTCAATTAGAGAGAATGGATCAAAGTAGAATGACATGGAGAGCGTATAAATCTGTAGGGGAAGGGAAGGCGGGATAGGGTCATCCTCGAAAAGGTTGGAAGGAAGGGGTAAGGGAGGTTTTTTGTGGGCGAGGGCTTGGACTTCCAGCAGGCGTGCACGAGCGTGTTCGATAGGAGTGAATGGAGACGGATGGATCGGGGACCTGACGATCTGTTGGAGTGTGAGCAGGGTAATATTTTGTAAAGGGGATTCGGGGAAAACCCGGGTTATTTTTATATAGCCGGACTTGAGTCCTGGAAATGGGAAGTACAATGCCTGCACTCTAAAGGAGGGGTTCGGGATATTAGCAGTTTGGAGGGATATGTCATGTATCTTTATACATATATGCTTCTAAACTGTTGTGTTCTGAGCACCTCTGCAAAAACAGTGATTATGTGTGAGTGAGGTGAAAGTGTTGAATGATGATGAAAGTATTTTCTTTTTGGGTCACCCTGCCTCGGCGGGAGATGGCCGACTTGTTAAAAAAAAAAAATAATAATAATAATAATAGACAATGAAAGTTTGGATATCAGATTGGAGGGAGGGAGGGGAGGGGAAGAGTATAGAGGAAGTTACTGTATTTATATATATGGGAGTGGATTTGTCAACAGATGGATCTATGAAAGATGAGCAGCGCTGTATATTATTATAATCAAAAGGAAGCGCTAAGCCACAGCACTGTATAGCCCTTGTGGTTTAGCACTTCTTTTTGATAATAATAATAATATGAAAGATGAAGTGAACTATAGAATTGACAAGGGAGAAAATTGGTGGATAGTGTGTTGATGCATCCATGGAAAGGAAAGTTCATTTATAGAGGAAAAATGAGGAATATGCCAGAGTATAGCAGTACCATTACCTTCATGTGGGCAATAAATTAAGATACACATACAACAGTCAGGTATTTTAATCTACAATAAAGATGCCTAACTGTTGCACGCATCTTACTTATCAACTTGTCGGTATTCCATACCATCATCATATTTGCACCTTTTGTGTGTGTGTATAAGGCATGGGTTTTAAATGTTGCAGCAAAATGTAAGCTGGAGGCAGTGGAGATGTGTTTGAAGTGTTGTATGAATATTATGCACAGAATTAAGAGCATAGAAATTAGTGTGCGGGCTATATGAGTAGGACACGTGCAACAGTTTCGCATTTTTTTATTCCAGAAATGTTTTGCCTGCACAGTGGGCACCTTCGGTCAAATGAATCCAAAAGCTTCAGATTGCTGAGAAAAGGTTGTTGGGGAAGTTTGGCGTTTAGAGAGGAAGTAGCAGAATAGGATGACCAAGAGTGTTTGTAAATCTGGGATGGAAAGAGGGGTTGGAGTCATACCAGGAGTTGGAGGGAAGGGGCAAAGATTCTGAATGCTGATGGGGATTGTTTCATTTTTTGGGGTCACTCTACCTTGGTGGGAAAAAGCTAGTGTTAAAAAATAATAATAATTGAGCAAGAGGCTAGTAACCCCTTCTACTGTATACATTACTAAATTTTAAGAGAAACTATCTTTTTTCTTTTTAGGTCACCCTGCCTCAGTGGGATATGACTGGTTTGTTGCAAAAAAAAATATTATAATCAAAACCATGTGTTAAAACCCACAAGGGTCATACAACACTGCAATAATAATAATAATAATAATAATAATAATAATAATAATAATAATAATAAAGAATAAAAAGGCACAATACTGTAACTAGAATAATAAACAAATAACTTGCACATAGGAGAATGAAATTTATGTATTCAGTAATGAGAACAGTACTAAATGCTAACCCAGGTGAGAAATTTAATCAATATACTACAGCACAGGGGAAAAAAATCTATGCCTTGGCACCATTGTACCAAAAATTCATTTACCACATTTACATTTGGAGTAAAGGAGTCAATGCACATTCAAACTTTAACTATAAAATAGCCACAGAGAAAATCACAAATAGAATGTTAAGTCTGGCACTTCCTAACATCTACGCATCATAGCAAGGGAAAACCAAGAGGAGGAGGAGGGCAAAAATGAAACAAAGATAAAACAGTTATGATATACTACTGGTATGTGGGAAAATATTTGTGACTAATAATAATAATAATAATAATAATAATAATAATAATAGTAATAATATAGGCACACTCACTACCCTCTGTTCATAAGCTCCTTAACTAGCCTTCATTTTTAGACTCGCTCTTTTTTCACAAACACCAGAAAGCAGGGCTTGATATGTTACAAGCTGTCAGTGACCCTTAAAATCCCCAACAACAATGACAACACTTTGAACATAATTTAATTTGGGATTACAAAGGTAATATTCAATCTGGAACAATTCTCTGGAAGAAAATAAAACAAAAATGTTTGTCCAAACTGCTATGATACAAGAGCTGGTAATTAAGAGTATCCAGTCATGTACGAACCAGAATTTATAATAGATGGCACGTCGATGTTCAAATGCATGAAGAAAAATTTACTTTAATCTGGCAAAGAGCTCGGTTACTTAGGACAAATTGGATTTCAGTGATGTCTCTCTTCTTGCTTACTGCAATTATCATCATTTTTACAAAATACTGTATTGTGCTTTAATTCACTGCCACACAATATTTTAATTCTGAAGACTGTATTAGAATTAAGAAAGGATTTAGCATATTATCATTAGTAAAAAGACTTTAACAAATCCTAAGGATAAACTGTAATAAAACAAAATTCAGTTAAAGGTTTTAAAGCATTATTAGAGAAATTTAAATAAATTTAACTCTAAAATAACAGCAATGAATAGTTATGCAATAAATATTATATTCATAAATATGTTTAATCCCCATGAGCAATTTTTGTCTGGATCCATGGAGCACAGATTAAATACCTTAATGACTCACGAAATTGTAATGACACGATTGCAACAAACCATCGCGGGTTCTATCCCCGCCTGTGGTAGGTTTAAATACCTTAATGTTCATAAGAACATAAGAACGAAGGAACACTGCAGAAGGCCTACTGGCCCATGCGAGGCAGGTCCAAGTCTCCTACCGGCTTAAGCCAATGCACCCAACCTAGTCAGGTCAGTCACATTGACTTAAGGGAGGAACACAGCAGTGTTATAAACTATTTGTTTCATAATGTACATACATGAACAGATTTTAAATGTAATTTTCATTTTACACTACAAATACTGTACACATTTATACAAGCAGAGGTACAATGATAGTAATCTGAAAGAGTAAATGAATTTTGTAGTGACAGACACAAGCAGCAAGTGGAATCATAACAGCAGACGGTATTCCCATGTCATCTGCTCTTATTACAAAATTAATTTTCTTGGCCATATATTCTTGAAAAGATGAAGATAATTAATCCACAGTTTCCAAATGCACACTGTAGTACAGATAAATTATATAAATACAGATACTGTACTCATTTCTATTCTAAGCTTAGATGTTCTAGCCACTGTCATAACTTGCTAATTTATTAGCTATTACTGGAATTTTCTCTTCTGGAAGACTTGACTTTCAAAACATTACTACAGCTAGAAAATTATTTTTTTTTAAGTAGTGGTTGATAATTTATGTCAGTTCAATGATAGTTTTTGAAAAATCATTTATCTATGCCCTTGACACCATAATATAGTTTTTGTAAAATTATTGATCTATTCCCTTGACAGCTTTACAGTCAAAGAAGTTTTGGGCGGTCAAAATAGAAACTCTTAACTCGTATTATCCACTTTTTACTGTATTATTTTTATTTCAAAATGAGATTTCAAATACCAATTCCTTCTAGTTAATTTCACATAGACATTCGTACACTTGGATTTCAAAAGCAATTAACTATATTTTTAAGTGTGCTTTGAAATTTTGTGCCAATTATTTTTAGGTACAGAATTAGACTCGTTATATGCTTTGGAAGTACTACCTAAATTTTATCCTATGTACAACAATTGGACATGTCCCCTGGAATCACAAGTGGCGTTTGCCTAGTGAGCACAACTGTACTAAAATGAAAGTATCAATGAATCAACTAGCAATTATAAAGATCAAGCAACTAAGGTACACCATTCAATTATAAAATCAATACAGTACATGAAAAATACACTCGATGGCATCATTGAAGATTGGCAATATTTATAATTCACTTTGCAATAACTACCTTTACATTTTCTGGTACAAATACAGTATTATGAAATACGACAGTGACAAGATATTTTTTATTCTATATAAGCTTGAGCAAGTGTTTGTCTTATATAAATAAATCAATAAATATTAAATGTGAGAGCAAATTTTATCAAATCACTTTATGTGTCTAGTACAGTTATTAAGAGAATGCAGGACTATGAAATACGACAGTGACAAGATATTTTTTTATTCTATATAAGCTTGAGCAAGTGTTTGTCTTATATAAATAAATCAATAAATATTAAATGTGAGAGCAAATTTTATCAAATCACTTTATGTGTCTAGTACAGTTATTAAGAGAATGCAGGACTTGGCTCTCCCATGAATTTAGTTTGTTTACCAAGGAAGTATCATAAAAATAATGATACCATAATAAAGATGATCTAACAATGGGAAAGAAAGAAAAAATGCTAAGAATAGCAACACAATTTACAAGGATAACAGAGTATGTGTTCTTTACTTGCCATTGCCAATACAAGTACAAAATATTTCATCCATTACTGCCACATTTTGTCAAACATTAAAACAATTAATTTTTTCAAAAAATATAATAATGTGAAATGATCTGAATTTCAAAATCACTTGTTACCCATCCAACAACAATTACAGTATTTCAAGAAAAAATGAAATTAATCACTTCTAAAGTACTCTTTTCTGGTTTTCACTTATTAGAAGGCTTTCATGCTGCTAACTGGAGTCCTCATTCTTTTCCTTATCATCAATGTTCTCATTCTCTTTCTTTTCAGATTTATCTCCATCTTTCTTATCTCCTTTCTCCTTTTCCTTGCGAGTGTGACTCTCATATGAGCTTCTGGCATGTTGAAGGGCTGACTCAACACGAGAGGCAGTTTCCCTGAAAGCATCCGGTAGGTCGGGAAGGTCAGGAAGGTCGATGGAAGTGATGTGGGAAGAGAGGCGCTTGTACATGCTCGGCTCCCGTTGCTTTCTGTACAAACGAAAGATGAAAATAAAAACAGTGTACAGTACTGTACTGTACTAAGATTATCAAATGAAGTCAGTTGAAATTTTTCAATAGTTTTTTATAAATAATGTAGTATTCATGAATAATTGCAATATTAACAACACATATTTACATTTACAGTCATCTATCTATTGTGCATCACAAAACTTTCATTAGTTAAAGTGCAGTATTGTAAACCACATTCAAGGCACTTAAAAAAATAAACAAATAAATATCAAATAATGCACTTAAGAAGTATTAATGTATTACTTGGACACTTGTTTACCCCACAGTAAGATTTGGTTATACATTTTCAATATGTCATCATACACAGTAGGTATACTCAAGAAGTGTTCGAAATGTAATCTTAGGTGTTTAATGTAAAGCAACTATATTATGCCAGCTGACAAGTGGTAGTGAATATACTTGTTAGTAAGTAAAGTTAACACTTGTACTGGTTAACCTATGATGCGAGTATACTGTATACGAAGTAATAATGAATTTATCACTTTACAAGTAACACTGCATACACAGTGAACACTACATATTGCTATGAAAGTATTGGTGGAGATATCAGTGAACAAAAACACTGGATACAGTGACTAATTAGCACTATACTGTATTGCAGCATTTCTCTACTGGGAGTGATTATGCCTATATTTGAGTATATCTCCTGAATATACGACACAGAAAAATTGCTTCTTAAAAACATAAATACTGAATGCATTCAGTAATGAGTACAGTACTAAATGCTAAACAAGGTGAGAAATTTAATCAATATACCACAGCACAGGGGAAAAAAAATCTATGCCTTGGCACCATTGTACCAAAAATTCATTTACCACATTTACATTTGGAGTAAAGGAGTCAATGCACATTCAAACTTTAACTATAAAATAGCCACAGAGAGAATCACAAATAGAATGTTATGTCTGGCACTTCCTAACATCTACGCACCATAGCAAGGGAAAACCAAGAGGAGGAGGAGGGCAAAAATGAAACGAAGATAAAACAGTTATGATATACTGGTATGTGGGAAAATAAAAATCTTACTTACATCATACAATCTGGGTGCAACTAAATGGTCAGATAGGAGCTATTTTGGTCTGAAACATGCCAGAGAGAGAGTAATAAATAATACTAGACACAAAAAGCATAAATGTTCAACTGAATACAAAAAAATAAAACAAATTAAACAAGAACTTATACTGTAAATAAAGATAACGATCTGTTTGTAGAATAAAAAATTATATAAACACTGATCTGAACACAGTAAAAATAATTTTTAAAACAATGAGTGAAAAAATTCACTGTAAAAAAAAATATAATAAAACTCATAAAACAGCTGTAAAGAAAAAAACATGATTTGAAAGAATCTAAAAACTTATATACGTTACAATACAATTCCTATATTATATAAAAATAGAAACTGTACGCTTAATTTCACATAACTTTAAATTGAAATGAAAGCTAAATACTGAATATTTTGACACATATTTTATTTGAAGTGCTTAGCATAATATTTCAATAAAAACACCAAAAATCATTGATAAATATCATACAATACTACACATTATTATACTACCTGTTTTTTTTTTTTTTCCAACAAGTCGGCCGTCTCCCACCGAGGCAGGGTGACCCAAAAAAGAAAGAAAATCCCCAAAAAGAAAATACTTTCATCATCATTCAACACTTTCACCACACTCGCACATTATCACTGTTTTTGCAGAGGTGCTCAGAATACAACAGTCTAGAAGCATACACATATAAAGATACACAACATATCCCTCCAAACTGCCAATATCCCAAACCCCTCCTTTAAAGTGCAGGCATTGTACTTCCCATTTCCAGGACTCAAGTCCGACTATATGAAAATAACCGGTTTCCCTGAATCCCTTCACTAAATATTACCCTGCTCACACTCCAACAGATCGTCAGGTCCCAAGTACCATTCGTCTCCATTCACTCCTATCTAACACACTCACACACGCTTGCTGGAAGTCCAAGCCCCTTACCCAAACCTCCTTTACCCCCTCTCTCCAACCCTTTCGAGGACGACCCTACCCCGCCTTCTTCCCTATAGATTTATATGCTTTCCATGTCATTCTACTTTGATCCATTCTCTCTAAATGACCAAACCACCTCAACAACCCCTCTTCTGCCCTCTGACTAATACTTTTATTAACTCCACACCTCTCCTAATTTCCACACTCCGAATTTTCTGCATAATATTTACACCACACATTGCCCTTAAACAGGACATCTCCACTGCCTCCAACCGTCTCCTCGCTGCTGCTAGCATTTACCACCCAAGCTTCACACCCATATAAGAGTGTTGGTACTACTATACTTTCATACATTCCCTTCTTTGCCTCCATAGATAACGTTTTTTGACTCCACATATACCTCAACGCACCACTCACCTTTTTTCCCTCATCAATTCTATGATTAACCTCATCCTTCATAAATCCATCCGCCGACACGTCAACTCCCAAGTATCTGAAAACATTCACTTCTTCCATACTCCTCCTCCCCAATTTGATATCCAATTTTTCTTTATCTAAATCATTTGACACCCTCATCACCTTACTCTTTTCTATGTTCACTTTCAACTTTCTACCTTTACACACATTCCCAAACTCATCCACTAACCTTTGCAATTTTTCTTTAGAATCTCCCATAAGCACAGTATCATCAGCAAAAAGTAACTGTGTCAATTCCCATTTTGAATTTGATTCCTGTACTGGCCATAATTTAAGAAATATCAACAAAGTAAAGCACATTTTTCAATTTAGCCCTTTCATTTTCATACATAGAGCTATGTTATTGATACTAGGGTTGCTTTCTTAGATATACGCTTCGAGCTCAGTTCCCTCAGATAAGCTCTGAGCGGTAAATTTTGGCCTAGACGTGAGATAATGAGTCTGTTCAGTGAGAGTGCACAGCAGAAAAAAAATCCTGCCTCATGCAGTGAATGATGGGAAAAGCAAACTTCTGACCTTTTGTTTGGTTTAAAACAGGTGTTTTCTAGGATATTTTTTATGGTTTTATTGGTATTTGATAGAATGAAGACATGCCACCAAAGTGGAAATGATCTTGATTGGTTTCAGCACCAGAAGTAGCTTGAAAATGGTCTCAAATTAGAGGAAATATTAGAATTTTGCAAATTTTCCTGAAAATGAGAAAGGCCCTCCTATACCCCTATCTATTTTATGGTTTTTACCAGGTCTAATTTAATTATTGGGACACAGTAAACCATGATCAATCATCCCTAGTTATACAAGAAATAGATAAATCACCTACCTTTTTTTTTTTTGTATGATGATGAATTCAAAATTGTAGGTAAGTGTAATAGTATAGGAAAGGCCTGAAGATGTAGTGCTTTGAATGTCTACAGTGTTTATTTTGGACTGTTTGTAAATCTGACTTTTTGAGTTCTGTTTAAAATTGGCCAAATTACCAACTTCTGTGCACTTAAAAAGAGTAGTTCTGATAATTGAATGAGCAGTTTTTTGTGCTCAATCAATAGAACTGAAAGAATACTAGTGAAATAGCTAAAAATTTTGTCAAATTGAGCATTAGAATTGGTTTAAAATATGACCCAAAGTGGGCAAAACTGCCTAGGCATAAACTGCACCCAGACTGCAAGCCTCTTCCCTGCATAATTCTTTAAGTTTTCCATCAAATTTCGTATTTTTGAGGTCATTTACCTCCTGGAAAAGATTCTCTACTATTTCGGATTATTATTTTTTTTTTTAATGCTGTATTAAAGCACTTTTAATTCTGGGTCTTCTGACAATGAAGAGGTTAAGAAAGTTGCTTCAATAATGTTCAATTTAATGTCCCCTTCCCTTAGAATATTTTTCATTATCATACTTTATACATTATTTTTGCTCCCCCCTAGCCTTTTCTGCATTCTACATTATTTGGCCTCTCAAGCATGTCTATTATTACATTAATTACTGTTTCTCCTAGAATGATCTGTTCCATGAATTGTTAATTTTACTCCTAGCCTGTTTTGCACTATATTAATCATATCCATCAGCAAGTTAAGTATTAATTAATTAACACTGTATGACCCACTGAAATTTAATACCTGTTTTCTGAATATAAAATAATGTACATGTTTATAGAGGGGCAACTGATATATCGGATCATTATTAGTTGTAGCTACAGTTAGAGTAAGAGGTAGATGGGAAAAGAGGAAGGTGGCAACAACAAGTAAGAGGGAGGTGAAAGTGTATAAACTAAGGGAGGAGGAAGTTCAGGCGAGATATAAGCGACTATTGGCAGAAAGGTGGGCTAGTGCAAAGATGATATGGGGGGGGGGGGGTGAAGAGGGTTGGAATAGTTTAAAAATGCAGTATTAGAATGTGGGGCAGAAGTTTGTGGTTTAAGGGTGGGGGAGGAAAGAGAGTGATTGGTGGAATGATGAAGAAGGGTGTGACAAAAAGAAAAAGGGTAGCTTACGAGGGGTTTTTCAAAGCAGAATGTTATAAGAAGAGCAGAGTAAATGGAGAGTAAAAGAAAGGTGAAGGAGTGTGAGAGAGTGCAAAAGAGAGAGATGACAAGATTTGGGAGAGCACTCAAGAAATTTTAATGAAAATAAGAAAAAATTTTGAGTTAAACCAAGTAAGAAGCCAGGGAAAGTTGGATTTGTCAGTTAACAGAGTAGGGGAGTTAGTAGATGGGGAGAGGGAGGGTATTAGGTAGATGGCGGAGAATATTTTGGGGAAACTTTTAAATGTTGGGAGGAAGAAAGGGAGGTGGTAATTTCCATGCATTAGCCAGGGAGGTAAACCATTTTTAGGAGTGAAGAAGAGCAGAATGTAAGTGTGGTGGAGGTACGTGAGGCATTACGTAGAATGAAAGGGGGTAAAGCAGCTGGAACTGAGGGGATCATGAAAGAAATGTTAAAAGCAGGGGGGGATATAGTGTTGGAGTGGTTGGTACTTTTGTTTAATAAATGTATGAAAAGAGGGGAAGGTACCTAGGGATTGGCAGAGAGCATGTATATCCCTTTATATAAAGGGAAAGGGGACAAAAGAGATTGTAAAAATTATAGAGGAATAAGTTTACTGAGTAAAACCAGAAAAGTATAGGGAAGGGTTATAATTGAAAGAATTAGGTAAGACAGAATGTAGGATTGGGGATGAGCAGGGAGGCTTCAGAGTGGGTAGGGGATGTGTAGATCAATGTTTACATTGAAGCATATATGTGAACAGTATTTAGATAAAGGTAGGGAAGTTTTTATTGCATTTATGGATTTTTGAAAAGGCATATGATAGAGTGGATAGGGAGCAATGTGGCAGATGTTGCAATATGGAATAGGTGGTAAGTTTACTAAATGCTGTAAAGACTTTTATGGGATAGTGAGGCTCAGGTTAGGGTGTGTAGAAGAGAGGGAGAATACTTCCTGGTAAAAAGTAGGTCTTAGACCCGGGATTGTGTAATGTCACCATGGTTGTTTAATATATTTATAGATGGGGTTGTAAAAGAAGTAAATGCTAGGGTGTTTGGGAGAGGGTGGGATTAAATTAGGGGAATCAAATTCAAAATGGGAATTGACACAGTTTTCTTTTTGCTGAGATACGTGCTTATGGGAGATTCTAAAGAAAAATTGCAAAGGTTAGTGGATGAGTTTGAGAATGTGTGTAAAGGTAGAAAGTTGAAAGTGAACATAGAAAAGAGTAATGTGAGAGGGTATCAAATGATTTAGATAAAGAAAAATTGGATATCAAATTGGGGAGGAGGAGTATGGAGAAGTAAAATGTTTTCAGATACTTGGGAGTTGACGTGTCGGCGGATGGTTTTATGAAGGATGAGGTTAATCATAGAATCGACGAGGAAAAAAGGTGAGTGGTGCTTTTGAGGTATATGTGGAGTCAAAAAACGTTATCTATGGAGGCAAAGAAGGGAATGTATGAAGTAATAGTAGACCAACCCCTTTTATATGGATGTGAAGCTTGGGTGGTAAATGCAGCAGCGAGGAGACGGTTGGAGGCAGTGGGATGGCCTGGGCTTAAGGGCAATGTGTGGTGTAAATATAAAGCAGAAAATTTGGAGTGTGGGAAATTAGGAGAAGGTGTGGAGTTAATAAAAGCATTAGTCAGAGGGCAGAAGAGGGGGTTGTTGAGGTGGTTTGGTCATTTAGAGAGAATGGATCAAGTAGAATGACATGGAAAGCATATAAATTAAAAGGGGAAGGAAGGAGGGGTAGGGGTTG